GATATTAAGCTCTTCAACGCCATTTCTTGATAGATAAGGGGACCAACGATCTATGTCGGACTGCTGCGACTTAGCACCTTCCAATTCCGGGCAAGAAATGCAGAGAGTAAATTTCTTAACTGGAGCAGCACGGTGTAAGAGAATTTGGTTTATAATGTTGAGGAGCGCCTATTATAAAACAGTTGGATCCAAAACAATAGCCGTTTATGCATATTTCTCTCTGATTTCAAATTCTCAACTGGATAATTGTGATAGAATGTGTGGATAATAAACAAATTTATCAATATTAAAATTTTATAATTTGGGAAAATTACATTAAAGTAACAATAGCTAATACGTTGTTTAATATTATGATTCAATAATTGCATTTTTCGTCAATTTAGAATGCCTCAATGGAGCCTTAAAAAAAGTTAAAACCACGTACAATTGCACGTACTATTCACTCCAAGATTCTTTTGACAAATTTTCCTTTGAATTATAAATAACCTATCACACCATCAGAACATAACTAACTCAGAATAAGTTCATAAATTTTGCTTCCACATAACACAAAGCAGTCACAACATTATACCAACCTTGATTATTTGCTAATTTATTGCTATTGGAACCTCAGTGTTGCTACTACTTCAACATTTTTACACTCTTGTGAGAGATAATAGTAGCAAAATCTTAAGGTGTGTAGGATAATAGTAGCAAGTTTCTCTTGTCATTCAATTAAAAATAATAATAATAATAGTTAAATAACAAAATTCTTTAATTATTTAACATCACGTTCAAACCAAACATGCTCGAAAAATAATGAAGTGATGTTGGAAAATATACATCAAGCATTTACCAAGAAGCCAAAAAGAAAGCCATTTCTTGATTGTTTTAAGCATCTTTAGATCCGGATTAATAATGCAATTGCTCATTTGTTTGGATCCTCCAAAAGTCTTGAAGCAACATTTATGTCTTGTATTAACATGGCTACAACTCAACACAACCATAAGGAAATTAACAAGGGAAAAAAATCATATATAGTTTTCATGCTTTAAGTCATCTCCAGCTTGCATATGCTAGGGGCTTTTTTTAAGCAATTACATAGCAAATTAAAGGTGAGATGTTAGGTGTGGGATCCTCGGTGTGGCTATTTCAACATTTTCAAACTAGAAAAAATAACCCAACAAAAAAAAACAGAGATTATATGTGCAATTTCTATGAAGGAAGAGTCTGAAAGTACAGATTCTCATTGGCAACAAGGTGATAAACAACCAAACAACAATGGCGGAATGCAAATGCATGCATTGAAGTCATCATGTAAAGTAAAATTTACATAGTGGATTCTCACTTGAAATACTATATCTAGAGGTAATCTTCACACACACACACGTGTATATATATATATATATATATATATATATATATATATATATATATATGGATGAACTATTAAGTAAAATTCTAATTGATCGAATCCATTATTGTAGCATTTCTTAATGCAAATTGGTTATGTAAATTATGAGCTGATTGATTATTCATTTTTATGTTTTGTTATTAGTTCTTGAAGTTAAATCCAGATCAGATGATTTTATACTTTTGAAGGAACTTAATAGTGTGGCTCAAACATAGAAAATGCAATTTAACAGGTTGAGGTTTGAAATGCAATATAATCCATTATTTGAGAAGGTTGTCATTATTTGAATCCTAATGTTTGACTCGGATAACGAGGGACGCTTTTACGATTTTCTCGTGCTTCCACAAAAGCAGAAATTGCTTACATATAATAATTTTAATTTTATGTATCTCCTCAATATTTGGTATAAGTTCAATAGGGTGTAATGATGTGTTTGGAATACCCTCTTCCTCCTCTCCCTACCAAAAACAACCTTCTTTCCTTCAACCAACTACACTATGGGAGTACTTAAATAACATAGATACTAGGTGAGCTTCAATAGGCAACAATAGGCTTCCCGTATATTAAAGTATTAAAAGACTTGTACATAGGAAAAACAACCTCATATAGTAATATTGACGAATTCTGCCCCGCCGTGCAAACAACATTTCGCATTTAGATCCACTAACTGAATCAATCTTGATTGTATTAAGCATTTTCAGATCTTGATTAATGTCATGAGTAGGACATATTAATGATGTTTTAGAGCTCTGATTTAAATAGCGGCCAACAAGTTGCTTAACTATAAATAGTGGACAATCAGTTACATGCATCCACCTGAAAGAACGAAAGAACGAGCTAAGCTTAATTAAATTCTTGCAAACGCTCCAACAAGGTTCAACAATTTTAAAAAGAATCATAACCCCGAATGAGCAAAAAAAATATGGGGGATTCCAAAATGTCTCTGCATGGAAAGTGGTTACCAAACAAGGAAAACCGTGTTTGCGGAGTGCATTTCTCTCCCATAGAAAGTTGCTATGCGCTTTAGCAATTTAATCTTCCGTATTTGTATTTTTTTTCCATTTTAAATATGTATGTTGGTTTCGTATTAGAATGTTGTATTTCAATTTAATATATTATATTATTTCAATTTATCCATGTCAAACTTTTAGGACTTTATTTTTAGCAATGTTATTCACATTTTTCCGTGCGAGACTTTAACAACTTTGTTTTTAGCAAAGTCCTAGTAGGATTGTTTTTTTAACACTTAGTTTGTCATTTTGTGTGGTTGTAGCAAGAATTCATCTGATTGGTAGTTAGAGGAAATAAAATTTGATATATATGTAGATTTAAAATATTTTAAGATATTGTTTAATTAAAAGTGTTATTTTGATGTATTTGTAAGTAAAAAAAAAAATAATAATTTAGTAGACTGTTGAAGTAAAACATTCAATTTTATTAATGATTTAAATTTGGACATTGCAAAGAAGAGTGTGTTGTCCTTCGACAATACTTACATTTTGTTCTACGATTGCTACTATAGTCCATTTCATTGGGAAATCTTGTTGTTCGTCGTTGGCCTCTTTGTGTTCGTCGCTTAGCGTTATATGCTCTTGATGTTTCTCTAACCAATTTGTACCTGTATTGCCCCGTTGGTCAATGTGGTGCAACGCTACCGAGTATAGCACACATGGTGGGATAACTTGTAACCCATGGAACTGTCTGCAAAAGCGCTCCGGATAATGATATTCCACAACGTGATAGAAGATTAGTGGCACATGGGCTGTCCAAAGTGCCAATCCGGCCTTGCAGTAAAATGGGAGTTCCTCGATCAATCCAGCATATGGAGTAAACACAAACTGTAAACGAATATTATAATTCCGGATTACTAACTTACGAATATATTATCAATACAAACAAAAAAAAGGCTTTTTTTCAAATTACCCTTTGTTCCGATAAGCGATCGAATTGATCACGGTACGCGATAGTGGTGTGATTTGCCACTATACCCCATGTGTGTGTGCACACCCACCTACAACAATAACATTACAAACAAAATATAATATAATTCTATAATGATTAGTATATGTAATACTTAAATGGATACTTACCGATATGCAAGAGGGTAATCTGAGATCTCTGTGACTTGCAGAACACCTTCTGGCCGTACCATTGGCAACCTCTCCCATGCCCAAATTTGTAGAAGAAGAAAACAACCACAAACCGTTTTAGTGTTCCTCTTAGCACCTCTGCACAAGGAACGGTACAAATATCCCAAAACAGCCGATCCCCAGCTGTATTGTCCACATAAGTTAAAATCTCTAATATACTCTAGCAAGTATGTTTTATAATACACCTTGCTTGTGTCCGGAAACAAAAAACCATTTAATAAATGAAAAATAAAACGGCGTGTTTCCAAAAGCACCGATTCCTGTGTGCTATCCTCGTTTAACTGGCCAGCCTTCGGAACCACAGTCCCATTAATCTTTGTCCTGGTCATGAATTGCGGTGCCAAATAAAACCCAAGCAGTTCGAAGCAATTTCTCACAACTTCAGCTGCTTCATATACAGTATCGTCCCCCGACACTGGCAACCCGTCTACCTTCAGCCCAAATAACACTTCCGCATCCTGAAGTGTTATTCCAACCTCACCGAATGGCATATGGAAGGCATGCACTTCTGGCCGCCATCGCTCAATAAGTGCAGTAATTAACCCATGGTCCAATTTAATGGACGTCAACCGCGAAATACCGTAAAATCCGGCAGTACGTATATGTTCTTGCACGCGAGGATCAAGTGAGGCATCGCACAGTGTTACGGTATCGTACCGTGCAACTTTCACTTCATATTCGTAGTTGGGATCGGTCCAAATTGCTCCACTACGATGTTGGCTTTGAAATGTTAGCACACTTCCATTAATAGTTCCAGGATTCACTCATTGTGCCATAACTATCCTAAATAACAATCAATGATGAAACAATCATGCGACAATCTTAATAACAATCATAATATAGAATAAAATACACTTAAATAATAAACATACATTATGATCAAAATATATAGGTAAAAATTAAAAGTGCAAATAATAAATGTTGAGCTCGGTGAAATTAAAATTTAACCAGCATGAATTTTCAACTACACGATTAACTAACGGAGACAATTAGCTAAAAAACGGAGACAATTAGCTAAAAAAAAAAAAGGCAGAAAAACTAATTGAATGTCCAACTTTACATCCGCATCCATAATAGCAAAATCAGTAAAAGAAAAGGCCTAGTCTAGGCCGTTTTTCATTTTCAAAAAAAAAAAAAAAAAAAAAAAAAAGAAACACGGTCTAGTCTAGGCCTTTTTTTTTTTTTTTTTTTTTTTTGAGCTCGCACCGATTCCAGATTTCAGTTTTCAATCAATTTAAAATCATAAGCGTTATTAACAAAGTTGTTAGAGCAACCTCATCAGTTGGGGTTATTTATGAGTTATTTGTGGGCCCCAACATTCAACTCATCCTCTATTATCTCACTCAATCACAAAAAACTCTTCTCCATATCAGTTTTCAGTTTTTTATGAGTTATTTGTGGTCCCACTTTTCATTTGAATTATAAGTTTATAAGTATGAAAATTAATTAAAACAAACACACCTACATTTAATTAAAATATTAATGATACATATATAAATTAATTTTTGTTGTTACTTTATTTATTTTAATCATTTTAATTTTAATTGTAATTAAATTATTCAAAATTTAATAAAAAATAAACTCCGTATATTATATAATTGAAATTTGTGAATATTTTAAAATATAAGTAATAAAACAATAAAAAACAAACAAATCAAATTTTAAAAGAAAAAATGAAGTTTCGCTGCACACTGACTGCTTTCTTTTTTTATTATTTTTTAATTTTATTTTACTGACATTATTTCGTAACTTGCAGGATGAATATCTTCCTATTATTTCACTCCAGACATCAGCTTATTGCAAACATTCATTGCCTTTTGAAAATACTGTATATGTAGCATACAGTAGCTAGTATGTTGTTCACTCCATTTTCACATGCAATGATCTCAGCACATTAATTCTTTCAAAATATAGGAGCTTTCTCGTTTTTAGACCGAGTGAATTAACAAATGAACTAACTAAAACAACAACTATGTGAATTAACAGTTAGACTATAAACAACCACATATTATATATTAAGATATTTGATCCCATTTTGTGATGGAACTATGTGGATCCCATTGTTCAAATAAACAACAAATTTCAGAAAAAACAGAGATTTATAAATAAATCAAAAAATCAAGCTTTCACCATTAATGGAGGAACTAACCTTAAGATGTTATTCAAGCAAAAACAAAACCGCCGGAATCCACCTCCACAGCCGTCTCCTACCGCCGTCCCTTGCCAGAAACCGCCGCCTCTGCCGTCCCCACTGCCCGAACAGACTTTCGATCCACCTATGCGAGGAACTCAAGCACAGTTGGTAACTGATTTTTGGGACCACAAGTTTTTTGGGACCACAAATCTTATTTTTTTGCTATTTTAAAGGAATTGTGCTGGGACCATAGAAGAAATTTGTAGAAGGTAAAAAAATGGAGAAGAAAGAGGAAGGAGATAAAAATGGAGAAGAAATAGGAAGAAGATAAATATATTGGAGTCAAACTAGGGTTTTTACAGATTTTGGGAAGCGTAGAATACGTAAAGTAACCGTATGGAGTTGGGAAGATTAACTTTCTAAAATTGCTATGGGCTATAGCGTTTTTCCTAAAGTAGGACTCCACAAACACGGTTTTCCCTTCTTCGTAACCAAAACCCATGCATCACCTTTTTCGTATCCAACGCCAGATTTTTGCACTACCGGCAAAAGCACCCTTTTAAAAATGCTGCCGTAATATGCATATCCAATATGGAACCGCTAAAGGACCCAATCTTGATTATTGTCTTAAGCGTCTTCAAATCTTGATTGATAAAGCAAGAATCCTTCATAATTCTTGAAGTATAGCATCTTTGTCAATCCACATACTTGACTATAACTCAACAAGGATGAAAGACATGCATGTTAGGGAAAAAAAAGAATCAAACCATCCACTCCATGTGTGCATGAGATACACTTTCCTACATATTTTTAATCACCCTATATAAACAACCTAGATAAAAGTTGTTGACAAATTTCTCGGGTTGCAACCAAATAATTCAACATGGAAAGAAAAGTTATGAAAAATATCAAAATTCTCTCGAGCTAATACTATTAGATACCAGCTCTCAAAATAAGCAATAATTGTGAGGAAAAAAAAACATGATTTCTGTAGATTACATGTCTTACCGGCATTGTTTCTGCTTTAATCTCCAGTTCACATAGGTCCAGTTCGTATAGGTTGGGGATCTTTCAAGCAATTTCAAAGCAACAGTGATCTGACCAAAGTCAGAATCTGAATCCATCACCCATATTACTTGCAGATTTGCAGTTGGGAACGCCTGTGCCACTACTGCAACATCATCAAGCTGAAAGATAGTAAAGAAAACAAAAATTAGTCATGAGAAGAACTCTAATTTAACAAGCCAGAAAGCCAAAAAAATAAAATAATAATAATAATAATAATAATAATAATAATAATAATAATAATAATAATAATAATAATTAATAAAATCTTTGACCACAAAAGGTAAATTTTTTTGCCTCAGACCCAATATGATAAGATAGTGGAGGAGTAAACCACATTAACATACATAGTGATTTGAGGTGGGAGAACTTGTGTTTGGTGTACAGAAACATACAACTCCAACACCATCTAATGCCCAATTGAGCTGCCCGCACATCAATGCAGGCATATATACTTGCTTTAAGATGAGGAGAAAGTAAAGAATCTCACCAATAACAAATCACGGCCATATAAACAAAGTGCCTTAAATACTCTCCAATTTTGCGAACACGACCTCTGTTCAACCGCAAAACAAAAGCCAAATCCAAGCTTTTAAGTTTTGGAGCACATATCTTAAAATTATTGATCCCAAACACGAAAACAGAAAGAAAGCTTCTCAAGATTAGAGACGACTCCTCCACTAATTCTACTCTTAAACTCAACCTCATTGAAAGCTAATGAAGTGACGCCATGAAATATACAACCCAATAGCACCATTTACCGGGTAATCAAAATCAAAATTGAAACCCCCGGGTAATCAAAATCAAAATTGAAACCCCCGAGTTCTAAATCAAAATCAACAGTAACACTTAATAGGTTGTTTAATATTACGATTCAATTGCATTTTTCATCAATTTAGAAAGCCTTAATGGAGCCTTTAGAAAAAAAAAATAAAATTAAAAGGCTAGACCCAATTGCTTAATTGTGGGGCACAAGGCTAGACCATACAAAATGGCAGCTTATTATGACAGCCCCAAAGAGATATGTAAAGTTCCTCAACACCATTTCTTGATAGAAAAAGAAACCACTTATCTAAATTGGAAGACTCTAGTTTAGGATCAAAAGAGTTGGAGAAATTGATGACTAGTAAAGACACTAGTAAAATTCATGTATTACCTATGAAGAAAAATTCTAATTGAATCCATTATTGTTGCATTTCTTAATGCAAATTAGTTATGTAAATTATAAACTGATTGATTTTTGTTTTTTTCAATTAAATCCAAAGGAATTTGAACTTTTGGAGGAACTTACTAGTGTGGTTCAAGCACAAAAAATGCTTTGCACTTTGAAGTTCAGCCGATTTAATGGGTTTAGGGTATAGGTATGAAATGTAATTATTCATCAAGGTGTTACTTGGTTGCTTTCCAAGAATTGAGAAGGTTTTCATTGCTCGAGATTAGCTGTTTAACTATAATTGCGAGTTTAAAATTATGTAGGCCAGGAGCTTTTACATTTCATTAATGCCTCCACAAAAGCAAAAATTGCGTACAAATAATCATTTTAATTTGGAATAAGAGTCAAATAGGCAACTGCACACGATAATACAATTAGATCACTGAACCTAAAAAAATCTACAATTGAGTCCCTAGTCCCTAAACTAATCAAATTCATGCAAAGCCTCCAATTTGCAGGTTCCCAACATGTCATCCAAATTAAATTATTTTTTAAAAAAATAAATTTTAAAAAATAATTATTTAAAATTAAAAAAAAAAAAAACAAAAAAAAAACAAAACTTCCGGTCGGAGACGAAGAAGGTTTCTTCGTCTACGGCCATTGAGACGAAGAAACCGCTTGGAGACGAAGAAGGTCGCTTGCCGGAAGTCTTTTTTTTTTTTTTTTTTTTTTTTTTTTTTAATTTTTTATATAAATATTAAATAGTTATTTTTTAAAAAAAATAATTTAATTTGGGATGACTTTTTGGAAACTTGCAAATTGGAGAATTTGCATGAATTTGGTTAGTTTAGGGATCCAATTGTAAATTTTTGACCTAATTGCATTATCGTGTGTAGTTCGATTACCTATTTGACCCTAATTCCTTTTACTTTTATGCATCCCCGGCCTCAATCTTTATTATAAGTTCGTAATGGTTTGTGAGAATCCTTACCAAATTTTGAATGTACTAGCACACCTCATTTTTTGTTTTAAGTTAATTAATTGCAAGTACTCTTCATACAAAATTGTTTGGAGTATTTTTAGTGCATATACTTCTATTCAATCTACTCAACAGTACAGTTGTGCCTTCTCAAGAAAAGCAGAAATAATTATTTAATATAAGTTCAGTAATGTGTAATGATGTGTTTGAAATACCCTCTTCCTCCTCTCCCTACCAAAAACACCCTTCTTTCCTTCAACCAAGTTCACTATGGGAGTAAGTAAATAACATTAACATTGTTAGATGAACTAATTTATGGAAAAAAAAAAAACATAATTGAAGTATTTTATTAACAAACGCAAATAGAGGAACATTCTTAATTGCCCACAATGCTTGCCGAATCATGCTGAACAACTTTAGAAAACATTTCAACTTCCAACACTACCATTGCTTACATTTCTAAAGATTGAACCCATGGAGATTCACCAAGTCTGTGAAAGGCTAAACCAATGTTGCCAGTAATCCATACCCATAGAATCATTATCATTGTCCGTGAAGACAATATAATGTGCGTTTGAAGATGCATGCGGAAAGCATTCCAACTTCCTTTGGATTTTTCTCACCTCGAGGGCATTCATATCCCAAAACTTCAGAACAAATCTCTCTAGCGCAGGAGATTTTGAAAGTAACATTTTTATAAAAAGCATTTGGAGCGCAGATGCACACTTTGATTCAATCTTGATTGTGTTAAGCATTTTCAGCTCATTACTAACAAAGCAACTATCTGGATCCTCCAAAAGCCTTGAAGCAGCTTCTTTGTAATCCTTCGAACCGAACTATAACTCAAGAAGAAATGAAAGACAAGCACAACAGTGAGGACATTTGAAAAAGCAAAACAAGAACCAAACATGATTGCCAAATATATATACTCAACCTCCTGCGCCAAAATATGCAGTTCACATAGGTTAGGACATCTTTTAAGCAATTGCATAGCAACGGCAAGCTCCTACCGACAATCAATATTTAATTCATGTAGCTTCATCACTTGCAGATTTATTGCAGTTGGAAACATAGATGCATCCATATACTAGAAAAATAGCAATAACAAAACAAAATTAACCACCACAAGAACTTTAACAAGCCAAATGGTAAAGAATTATATCTATCCATCCATTTGCATCAAGTAAAATGAGTTAAGTTCTCACCCTCAACAAAGAGCCACACAACCGAAGAGTCTTAATGGCTTTCAAATGCGGTGTCAACCATCTCGAAGTATATACATCATACATAAAATTAATAACAGATAACATTTCAAGCTTTGGAGGACTACTGATCTCAAACTCATCGATCTCATCACAATCTTCGAAAGCCAGCTTCTCAAGATTAGGAATACTAATACTAGAGGCAATTTCATTAACACCGCGCTTAAATTTAACATAAAAGAACTCTAATGAAGTGACATTGGAAAATATATCACAAGCATTTACAGGCAAATCAATAATGACACCTTGGACTGTCAGTTTCTTAATTGTCCTGCAAGAGAGTAAACAAAATGGCAGCTCATAAACTGGCGCTAGATCACTATATAAATATATGTTAAGTTCCTCCACAGCATTTCTTGAAAGAAAAAGACACCACCTATCAAAATCAGACTGCTGCATAAGATCAGCACATGGAATGTGTAGAGTAAATTTCTTAACCGGCCAAGCACGGTGAAACAGGATATTATTGATTATGTTCACGCAGGTTCTACCATCCAAGATTTTCTTATCATCTTGGCGCTGTTGGAGACTTTCCAAGAATTCCCGATCGAACACAAGCCGCCCATGCTGCAACCAAGCATCATTCCAGTGCCTTGATAGCAGAGCAGTTCTGGCGGCGTCTCGGGTGGGCAAACACTCCAAAATTCTGTCCTTTATCTCTATCGGCAGCTCTATTATTAAATCCCTACTTGCATCCATGAGGCGTCAGTCGAAATCAAATGTTAAAAGCATTCTATTCTTCAACGGCAAGATTCCATATTTCGTAAATAAAAAGGAAATTAGTTAGGAAGCGAAGAGTTGGGAAGAAAACAGAGATTGGGGGAAAAGTGACAGATTAGAAACCCTCACCTCTGATATTTGGTTTGGGTCTTTGCGGGTTAGGAAAGTGGAAGGGAAACGGAATGCTAGATTAGAAACCCTCACCTCTTCCCAGATGGTGCAGGTTATGGAGCAATCTTGCGAGATTGGGGTGGCAGATTTGTGGCCGCTCAAAGTGGTCGCTTAAGCTGTGGTCACGATCCTTATTTTGGGGAGGCTTTGGCTTTTAAGTAGGCGTTAGCTTGGCTTAAAAGTGTGGTGGTAGTAATTTTATCATTGAAACTGATTGCCTGAACCTTTGTTTTAATTTTCATTCTAGTTGTTTAGACTTGTCTTATGCTGGTTTAATTATTAAGCAATGTCAATGTATTGCTAGCGACATTAGGAACATTTCTGTTCGCCATGTCAAACGGTCAGCGAACCAAGTTGCTCATGAGCTAGCTCGGGCTTCTGGTTCTTCCTTTGTCCTTGGGTCTTGGGAGTATATACCCCGCATGATTGTATTTATCCCTTTATGAATTAATGCGTTCCTTTGGTTTTCAAAAAAAAAAAAAAACATAGAAAAAGAAAGAACATAACAGCTAACAAAGGTAAGTGTGAACATTTTTTAACCTTTCTTCCTTTTATTTTATATATTTTTCTTTACTTATTCTTATTATTATAACTTTTTCATAATATAAATCGTGTATTGTTGATCTCTTACTATAATCTACAAAAATTATTTTCGAAATTTAGTGTTCAATTTTTTATTTTATATATTTTTCTTTGCAGGTAATTAATGCCAACCTATTATCAGGTAGCAGTTCCATATCTCATCTGACTTGTAAAAATACCTCCATCATAATAAAAGGCGTGTACTTGGACACATGGATAGTTCACTTTGTACACCAAGTAGCACAGTGACTAATTGTACAAATAGAAATGTTAATGTATATACCTACTTTTATTTTTTTGGTAATATTTAATAGCGCTAAATGATAAAAATCTTTCTGGCAAAATTTTTTTTTCTTTTTCTTACGTTTTATGTTAAAATTAATTTTTAAAATAAAACTTTTAGGGACGTTTATTATAAAACGTCATTGATTCTATATCTTTACTGACAAACAATTATATTTTGTCAGTAAATATTACCAAAAAAAAAATTATTGTTTGTACCAAAATATATAGTGATGTTATTTAATATAACGTTGCAAATTATTATATTTAGCGACGTTTTCTAGAGCGTCGTTAAAATTTTCATCGGGAAATGACAAATTTCTTGTAGTGTGTATGAAAATTGTTCAGTTTACAGCAAAAAGATCAAGCTTATATCCAACAGATAGAACTAACTGTTGTAACCAACAGACAAAACAGAATGCAAAGGGAAACAGAAAAGCGCTTTGGCATTAATTCATTACTTCATCACCCCCCCGCCCCCCCCGGTAAGCTGGAGCATGAATGTCTTGAAGGCCCAGCTTAGAGTCGAAACTATCTAACACTGGCTTGGACAATTGTAATGCCCCACTTCTAGGACATGACCCGGTCATATCGTTACGTGAAAACCTGTAACAATACGAAGTCTAGCCATACATACCTCTCGGAACCTTCATAACAACACTTGAATACATAATAATTTTTCAACCCAATATGACAAAATATAAACAACTAGTTCTTCCCAAAAACTCATCAAATCAATAAAATTAAATATTTACAATCAAAAGTAATATGTCCAAAATGGATCACTTACAGCAGCCTTGTAAGTGTAGCTTGCCCCTTTTGGTTTGTGGCTTGTGTGTTGGTTTTTATTTGACTTGTACGTCTAAGCTTCATGATTTATCATGTTCACCAATGCTTATTTCATGAGGGAAAATGGTCTCCTTGTGCAAGTGGTCTACACTAGTAAGGGGCATCATCTTGTGAAATAAGATTGGTCCCATAGCTATGTCCTTTGGGATGAGAATGGAAGGAGGTTTATGATTGTTTGAGCTTGACTAACCTGCAATGCCTCTAGTGTGTATATTTAAAGAGCGCTGTGTAATTTTACATTTCCCCAGTTTAAGAAGATTATTAGCGATAAGAACTGTTGTAAAAGACTGACTGATGAGGAGACGAAAGTTGTCAGTCAGACAGATAGTTTGCAGATTAGTTTGTCGAGGAAAAACTAAAACAACACATACGATGTTTACCTAGTTTGATACAGTGTGTATCTACATCTGGGGGATGATCACCGAGGCGTCCAATCCACTAACTCATAATCCAATGTACAAAGGTAGAGAAACAAGAATCTCACCCAAGTGCCCCACACAAAGTACGTACCCAGTCTACAAAGGTTTAGTGGATTGTTGAAGGCGGAGAGCTACGCATGCAGAAGTCCAACGAAATCCCTTCGATTGGAGAGCTAACTCTGATGCAGTCCGCTTCAATGACGCAGTCCCACGTTGTTCCCACAACTGAGTGATCTTCGCGTCCTTTCGTTTAAGCAATGATAGTTCTTCTCAAGTTCTTCATCATAATCACCAAGAACACATATTCTTGAGAAGAGGCATGATAATCAAAGATATGATCCTCTGTATAGCAAGGAGTGCTTTTTGTCTTCTTAAAATCGTAACTCTAATTCATGACCGAAAGAGGGTACTTATACTTCCTTAGCAAGAACACTCTCTAAAAATATCTTTGATTGTAGATGGTAGGACGATTTGTGAAGAATGCAATCTTATAGATTCGATCCATACCTTCCAAAACAGATCCGTTGATTTTCTTTCCAAACTAGTCTTCTCAAACCACGTTCAGCATTTTGGAAACTTCTTCCTTTATCAGATCTTTAATGTCAATGCGTCTGTTGGTGTACATGAGAAATCAGTCTTCTGTAAAAGCAAACAGACACCAAGCTAAACCCTATCTTAGTTTGCCATAATAATATTGCCAATTATATGTTGGGGTTTTATGGAGAAAATACCAACACTAACAAACTCCCCCTTTGGCTATTATTTGGCAAAACAACTCGACTAAGATAAAACAATAAACTAGGGAGAAAAAAGGAAGATAACAGTTGCATAAAGAACATAAGTATGAATTACAACCATTTAAGGAATAACAGCACACAAGTCGTGCTGAGCAAAAACATAGTAGCATTCTTCACAGATCATGAGGCCATCACAAACACACGCCCAGACAGGGCCAGAAGGTACAGAAACACACAAAAAAACTCCCCCTGAGTTTAGTCACTCCCCCTTTTTGCCAAAGATAGACAAAGAAACATTCAGGCATTCGATGGCTCTTCACTGTCGGACTTCACATTCTCAGCAGCAGCAGACTCAGTCAAGCTCAGACGAAGCAAAATAGTCGCAAGTTCAGTACGGGCTGCATGAGTTGCTTCGCAATAATGCCATTAACAGTTTCAAGCTCAGACACCCGAGCTTTCAGACGGAGAGATAGTTGGACGTCCTTTGCATGTGGTACTAGACCCTGCATCGTCAGAACTCCAAAAATGAGATTAGGATATGGCAATCTTACCTTCTGTTCCCACGGATGAATCAAAGTGAGAAAATGATAGAAGATCTACTTCCCCAGATCAATGGTCATTTTGGTGCCAATTCAAAACAGAAGTGCAGCCAGTTGCTTGCCAACCGTATGAAAATGGGCAGAAGGTAACCAATTGTGTAAGGTAATACGGTGCAGAATAACATATTTGGAGGTAAGCTTCGAGCTAGACAGAGTGTCAACATCACCTGTAGGCCATACAGGAGTCTGACCTCCAGTGAGAGTCCTTGCAACCA